AACTGTATTACAGAACCATAATAGCAAAAATTGTACTGTACTAGCACAAAAACAGACATGTAGACCAATGGAATAAAACACTGTTCCCAGAAGTAAGCTCACACAGCTATAGCCTCCTAACAAAGGTTCCAAAAACATAAAAGGAGAAAAAACAGCCTCTTCAGCAAATACTTCAGGGAACATTGAATGTCCACATGTAGAGGGGGTAAATTAAAACTATCTTTCTCATCCTGTACAAAATCAATTCAGAATGACTCCAAACCCTTGATGAAAGACCTTAGAATCTGATACTGCTGAGAGTAGCACAAAAATACTTCTAGGAACAGGCACCTAGACGTTTCCAAAAGGTTTCTAATAGCAGAGAAAAATAACCCCAAGAATTGAAGAAAAGAATTATACAAAATTAAAAGGCTTCTGTGTAGCTGGAGAGCTTTTCTCTCTGGGTCCCACCAAGTCCCGCCAGTCCTGGAGCCCACTTATAAAATAAGCACAGAGACACTTACATTATTTAAACTGCTTGGCTATTAGCTCGGGCCTATCATTGTCTAGCTCTTACTCTTACATTTAGCCCATTTCTATTAATCTTTACTTTGTACCAGTACTTTACATCTTCCTTGTCCTGGTGGCGGCTCCAGGCAGTCTCCCCTGCTCTGCCTTCCTGTTCCCTCAATTCTCCTCACTGTTAGTCCCACCTATACTTCCTGTCTGGCTACCAGCCAATCAGTGTTTATTTATACAGAGTGATATCCACACCACTTCTGCACAGAAAAATCATGATCACCAAAATGAGGAAACAGCATACATAATGGGGGGGGGGGGAGCTTGGCCAACTACATATCAGACAGGCAGTTAATATCTGCAATACATAAATAGCTTCAAATATTAAGATCAAAATAATAAATTATTCATTCAATAAATATGCCAGTAAACTCAAAAGGCAGTTCTCAAAGGAGTTAGAAATGGCCAATAAATACCTGAAAAAAAAAAAAAACCTTCAACTTACTGCATCAGAACATGAAAATAAAACTTCTTTGAGATGCTATTTGACCACAGTCGGAATTGCCATCATCAAGAAAAAATTACAACAAATGCTAGTGTGGATGTGGGATAAAGGGAAGACTTATTCCCCACTGGCGGAAATTTAAACTGTGTAACCACTATGGAAATCAGTTGGAAGTTTGTCAAAAAGCTAAAATTAGATCTACCACATGATTCAGATATACTGCTCTTTAGCATGTACCCAAAGGACTCTATATGCTACTACAAAGATACTTACTCATCCATGTTTACTGATGTGCTCACGAAAGCCAAGAAATGGAAACAGTCTAGATACCCATGAACATCATGATGAATGAACAATGAAAATATGGCATATTTGCACAATGGGCAGTGTAACATTGGGACTCAGCTATTAGGAAAAAATAAAATTATGAAAGATGGATGGAGCTAGAAACAGTCATTCTGAATGAGGTAACTGAGACCCAGACAGACAAAATTCAAATGTTTTTGCTCAATTGTAGATGTTAGCTTTGATTAGATGTGTGTGTTTTATTTGGAATACCCATAAAGATATAGAAATTAATAAGGGCCTGTGGGGAATGGCTTTCAAGGGAGGGAAGATAGAATGCACTGGTATAATGAGTTAAAAGAGGCAAGATATAGGAAGGGATAGATTGTGGTGGGTGAGGGAGAACAGAGGGAATCTAAGAGAGATTTAAAAAAGCACCAAAGACACCAGGCAGTGGTGATGCATGCCTTTAATCCCAGCACAAGAGGTAGAGGCAGGCAGATCTCTGTGAGTTCGAGTCCAGCCTGGGCTACAGAGTGAGTTCCAGGAAAGGCATCCAAGCTAAACAGAGAAACTCTGTCTCAGAAAAAAAAAAAAAAAAAACAAAGACTTGAGAAAACTAATATAGAAACCTACTACTTAGAAGTGCTGTGGGATGGTCTATATGTCAAATGTGTTGCTGATTGGTCAATGAATAAATCACTGATTGGCAGTGGCCAGGCAGGAAGTATAGGCGGGACTAACAGAGAGGAGAATTGAGAGAACAGGAAGCTGGGTGGGGGAGACACTGCCAGCTGCCATCAGGATAAGGAAGATGTAAAGTACCGGTAAGCCACAAGCCACGTGGCAAGGTATAGATTAATAGAAATGGATTAATTTAAGCTGTAAGAACAGTTAGCAAGAAGCCTGCCACGGCCATACAGTTTGTAACCAATATAAGTCTCTGTGTTTATTTGATTGGGTCTGAATGGCTGTGGGACTGGCGGGTGTCAGAGATTTGTCCTGACTGTGGACCAGGCAGGAAAACTCTAGCTACATAGAAGCTTCTAAAATACATCTATACACACACGTAACAAGGATCAAAATGGAGTTTCCCCATAATGGAGCAACAATGTTCCTATCAGACACCAGAAGCTAACAAATAAAAGACCCAGTACTGGGAACAGGTTACCTCTATAGGAGTTGTTGCCTAGTGAGGTATCAAAGACCCCTAAACATTATTATAGGCTATTGTCAATGCTGCTGGTTACCCTCAAGAACTTGACAGGAAGACCCTATTGCCAAAGATGTCATATATTTGAGTACATGGAGGAATCGAACTCAAATTGGCCTGGAAGCTTCATCACTACTGACTAGCTTTCATAGTGATGAAAGATGCTAAGCATGCTACAAGAGGATGTAAGTAATCATCTTAACAAAGTGTGAACCTTATGCACTACCATAAAAACAACCCGGGCAAGACATGCCCACTGGTGCAATAGTGGCATGAACATTATGGGAGTAACCCATCTCTTTCTGCTTGGATTGAAGCTCAGCTCCACAAGATGAAATCCATAGCCAGCACCGTCATCAGGCTAAGAGCGTATGGCTAGACAGGTCATGGGTCACAGGCCATAATTTACTACTATTATTCTGCACAATGGACATAGTATTAAAGTGACTCCTGGGGCTTATCATTATCCCATGAGATCAATGCATCTCAAAACCATTATCAGAGAAGATTCTATCTTCAGTAGATGGTGATTAACACAGGTGCACAGATTAAGAGACAGCAGAATGTCCATCCCTAAAGAAATATTGTACTGCATCCCTCACCCCAAGGTTCAGGAACCATTGAAGAAGAGGTGGTACAAAGAGTCTAAGAGGCTATGGATGACTACAGGAAACAGTGTCTGCTAGACAAGGCAGGGAAGCTCCACATATTAACTCACAGCACTTGTGACACTGTGCATAACACCTGTGCAAGCCCAAGCCAGATTAAATCCCAGATTTCTGAGGTGCTATTGGCAATTGTTATCTACTGGAATGGAATGTGCAGTTTTCTCCAAGAATGTAGGCCCTGGTAAGTCAACCATGCTCCAGTGAAAGACCACACATCAAAGAATGTTTGGGTAGCATAAATTAGCCAATAAGGAAAAAAAAAGGGACACAAAGTTAAGTGATAAGTGAAGTTGGGGAAGTGAGAGTGAATAGGATCAAAACACATGAAATTCTCCAACATCTGATAAACCAAATAACAAACAGTGGTAAGGGAAAGAGGAACCTTATATAATGTTGGTAGGAATATAAACTTACGTAGCTTCTATGGGCCTTCAGAAATATTCTTCAATAAACTCAAAATAGAACTACCATACAACCCAGGTATACCACTCCTGGATACATACCTGAAGAATTCTAAGCTAACATACCACGAACATACATGCACATTGGTGTTTATTCCTGCACCATTCACGGGGACTCCACCTAAGACACTGAATCAGCCTAGATGTCCATAAACAGATGTGTGTGTGTGTGTGTGTGTGTGTGTGTGTGTGTGTGTGTGTGTGTGTGCTCATACACACATACACACAGAGATTCACATGATGGATATATAATCACAGACACAAAATGAAAGTTTTTAGCTGTAAAATAATATGAGATCACATTTGCAGGAAAATGGATGGACCTGGAGACCATTATGAAACCATCTTAAGCCAGACTCAGAAAGACAACTGTTGCATGTTTTATCTCATATTTGGAATCTAGATTTAATTGTTCATGTATGTGTGTGTGTGTGTGTGTGTGTGTGTGTGTGTGTGTGTGTGGAGAGTCATGAGTGTAGATGAGGGATCATAAGTGGAAATAGGAACAGATTGTCAGGAAGTGAAGAAGGGCGGGAAGGGAGAGGCTAATAGAATATGTCGGACATGAAAGCAGAAGGGAGAACTGTTTGGGAGAGGGAAACAGGCTAGTAAAAAGTGGAGCAGGGAAAACGGGCGGGTCTGGCAGAAGGGGGATGAGTAAGAAATAAGTATGATGTGTGCATGAAATTGTCATAATAAAAGCCACTACTTTGTATGCTAATTTTAAAAATAATTTTAAAAAATCAAAAACATATTTCCAGGAGTCAAATAAGCCATTACTTAGAAATTTGGGGAATAATTCTGCCTTAGAAAGTGAAAGCACAATGCAGGTTAAACATGAGGGATACAATGAACCCGTGCTTAGGCGGGGACCCTTTGGTGGGTAGTATTTTTGTTAGTTATTTTTTTTTTCTTCTTCTCTGTTTGAGGAAGGCACACATTTATAAACAATGTCTCAAGGTTAAAATACATATTGTGAATATTTTTGGTAACAGTCACAATCAAAAACAGTATTCACTCAACATTGTGCAGCCTAAGTCAGTTCCTTTTGCCCAATGAACTTGCTCTAGCAAGCCATTTTTTCTCCAGTCTTAATTTTGAGCAAATGCTATAATTTATTAACAAATTAAATTAAAATAAATTCACATGTTACAAAAACAGTTGAGGAAAAAGAAAAGAAATAGCAACCAAATTAATGGGTTTTTGTGAGAAGCATTCAAATGACTGAGATAAAATACACTGGTCACCTTAACATGAACCTCCATCATTTTCCATTCAGTGAAGATGCAGAAAGACTCGAAGCCTTAGGCTTCACTCTGGAAACCCAAAATCAAGTGGAAGTTCGCACAGCCAGAGTTCCACAGTCTTACCTCCATCAGTACAAAGAGTGCCGCAAAGAAGAGGAGAGTCACCCATTCTACTCTGTGCACAATGATCTCAAAGTCATGAGTGTCAGCTAAAATTAGCAACCAGATGGCACCCAGAATCGCAATCCATCCTGTAAAACAAGCAAAAATCCATCCTGTAAAGTATCGACTGCTAGCACACCAGCGGACGTTTTATCTTCTGAATGGTTTATTTTGCATTGAAAACAACTGCTGTATTGCAAACTGTGTACATTTAAAAGTATAATTTCTATTTTAGCTTATGTATATATTCATGAACCAATACCACAATCGAGATAATGGGTATATTCATCACCCCAGAATTCATGCCCACCCATGCGCTGTCCCGTTACAGATCCTTCTGTCACTGAGCACATACACTCCCAATAAAACGTGCATCTCTTATCTCTATAGCGCAGTTTACATTCTCTGTATTCTCTATAAATGTAGGGTTGTAGTCTCCTCTCTCTCTTCCTCCTTCCTCTCAATGCTACAAATCAAACCCAAAACCTCACGTATGTTACACAATGTCCTACCTTTGAGATACTCTCTGGCCCTCGCATTCCCAGTTGATCTAGTGGCACATATTTTTTTTTCTAATTACTTCTCAGTGGACAGACAATCTTGTCAGAAAAGCAACACTTAGCACAATTACTTTAAGGTTCTTCCCTTATATTATGTGAGTCAAATGTCAAGTTTTTCACCAGTCAGTGGTACGCCATTATCTGGCTATGCCATGATATGTATCCCATTTACCCATTAAGGACTTCCCAATGGTTTCTAGTGTTTGGGTATTACCAATGAATATGATATAAATATTCACAGAATGATTACAGTGACCTCCCTCAATGTGAACAGAGCCTTGAAATAGGGCAACAAATCAGGCTAGACCTGAGAAATGCAGTCAGTCGCCTTTAGAGGGCACAAAGTCGTTAGGACTGTCCCCTTACTCCTCAGATTTCCTGAATGTCAAAGAAGACACATTTTTTTCATTGACTGTTTTTATGCTGACCAACATCTGGGCAAGTTCTAGCCACTCTTGGTGGCTGAGCATTGTAAGGCAGCTCACAAATCATATCACACAAGAACATTGGAAATATTTCAGAGCATGCTTTGTGTAATTGCTCATTTGCCAATGAGAAAAGAACATTAATAAATAGCAACCACTTGATTTGAGAGATTCAATAATTGTCTTAAAACATACCTTACTCTTTTACTGATAACTCATAGAAATATTTGTTTAGATGGACTTTTCTTTAAAATCTATGCCTGAAAAGCTGCATGCTGTCTATCAAAATCACTTTCAAAAGGTCAGCTATCTTAGCATTTGTGTTGTGGGATATTTGTACACTGTGTGAAGATATATTGCTGTGATTAGTGTAATAAAAAGCTGAGTGGCCAATAGCTAGGCAGGAGAGATAGGTAGGACTTCCAGGAAAAGGAGAGAATCTCAGAATGAATCTAGGCACATAAGGAAGATGTCTTATGTGCCTAGACAACAGAGTACAGTTTCCACAAGGAAGCATGTGGAAAGCATCTGAAATGATCAAATCTCACAAAATTTCAAAATTCTTGCTAAAGTTATAAATATCGAGAACTTGAAACATGGCCACACACAACAAATGAAATAGTTGACAGACCTATAACAAGTCTCTTTCTTTCTCTCTAACCAGCTCCCAAATAATTACATGGAGACTTATTAATTAATTTATTATTTATTTATTAATTGTTATTTATCATAATTAATTATTACTAATTCTGAAAGCTTGGCCAATAGCTTAGAATTTTTCCTAACTAGCTCTTATAACTTAAATTAACCCATTTATATTAATCTATGTTCTATCAAGTAGTGCTACCTCTCTTCCATCTTTCACCTCCTGTTTCCTCTCTGTGTCTCCTGACTTCCCCCACAATCTCAATTCCTCCTCCTCTTTCTTTCTCTCCCTGGAAATCCTGCCTATACCTCCTGCCTAGCTATTGGCCATTTAACTTTTTATTACACCAATCACAACAATACACCTTCACACAGTGTACAAATATCCCACAATACAGACCTTACTGCCTCTAACATGATGACTCCAAAGCAGAGATACTCAGAGTATTAGGAAAAATCCCTAGTCCCAATATTTCTAACAAGCCTGTAGATATGAACTGCCTTCATTTAGTTTTACACAAAAAACAATATTAATATGTTTGATATAACTTAGATTGTCAAGGTTAATTGCCAAAGAGAAAATAGTATTAATAAATAGTAACCACTTGAATTGAGAGTTTTAATAATGGCCTTAAAACATACCTTATTATTCTACTGATAACTCACAGATATCTTTGTTTAAATGTACTTTTCTTTAAAAAGTCTGTGGCTGAAAACTTACAGGCTGTCTATCAAAATCACTTTCAAAAAGTCAGCTGTCTTGGTGTTTGTGCAAACTTATGTGATACAAGCTATTGGAAATGAAAAATGAAAAGTGGATGGTCCATTAAATTCTTTGCTCCACTCTCAAATCACTGACCTGTGTGTGCTCAACATAGGAAACTGGTTACATTACTCAAAACACAGTAGAGCAAATGAAAGGAGACCAGGAAGTAGTAGTGTTTGGAGAGTTGTAGCTGAAACACAGCCAACCTTGCAAAATGCACCTGTGGGTTCCTGTCAAAAGTCTGTATAAACCAGAGGAGAGGAGCCAGCCTTCTTAACTCCATATCTCAGTGCCTGTATGATGGCCAACAAGTACAGGTCAGCCAGATCATTGAAGTTACTCTAACAACCAAAACTCCCCCAGGTTCTCAGAGATCTCAACAATCTCCAAGGAGAAATGTACAAATCATCAATCAGCAATGGACAGAAACAGCTTCCCTCAAAAGGAAGTCTTTATTGGAAAGTGAACAAAAATTGAAACCTCATGGAAAGGGAAAATCAGTTTCCTCCAATGGAGTATCACTGGAGTATCAACCACATCCCAAGGCAGGCCTCATTCCCACAAGTTGGCCAACACAAATTAAATTTCATGTATTTTTATGCACATTTTGTTTGTTTTGTTTTTGTATTTTTTGTCTAATTGGGTTTTTTGTCTATTTTGGTTTTTTGGTTTGATTTACATTTTTTGTTTGTTTTAATTTTTGAAAGAGAAGAGAAGAACATGAAATTGAAGAGTAGAGAGGTGGGGAGGATCTGGGAGGAGTTAGGAGAGAAGAATGTGATCAAAATATATTGTAAGAAAAAAAATTAATCAAAAAGTCTTTATTGACAGTGGCAGAACATATTTCCATAATTACAAATGTATCGAAATTCATCTAGGGAAGAATGTCAATGTGAATATCAAATAAGAACTCCAAAAGTCAATTCCCCCTTAAAAGAAATAAAATTATGGTGAGAGTTTTGGAAATCTGGAAGTTTTTTAAAGCTTTTAGTAATGCAAAGGGTAAGCTGAACACTGATAAGAACAAGTTCTGATCTTAGGAAGGAGATTAGTAAGTAGAAATCATTAATATCAGAGGCTGTGGGACACCATAAAGCAGACCAATATATGAATCATAAGAATGCTAGAAAGAAAGGCAAAAGGAGAAGGACAGAAAGAATATTTGAAAACGTAATGGGCAAAACTTCCCAAATGTAAAGAAAAAAATAATCTCAACATCCAAAAAAATTCAATTAAGTTCAATACGGACATATTCCAAGAGAACCACACTCAGATACATCATGGTAAAACTGCTGAGAGACGAGACAGGCACAAAGAGAAAGTTTTGAGCCAGTGAAAAGCAACTGACCGTTAACTCAACAAAATTAGCAATCACATGGTACTAATGCTGGAAGGCAGTGGGACCACAGAGTCAAAGTGCTGACGAAGAAGAAGACTCAACCAAGAATTCCATACACAACCAAACTGTCAAAATGAAAGACAATACTGAATTCCTATATAAACAAAAACTAGGAAAACTCACGGATACCATTATTCTAGGAAATACTAAAAGAAGTCCTTGAGTCTTAAATGAAAAACATTTGGGAAAGTTACTCCAGCCATATGAATAAATAGCACCTATGGGAGCATTTATGTAAATAAAAACAATATAAGTATAATCTTTGTACCTTTCAAATTATTTAAAACACGGACATCATAAAGCAATAATTGCAAAACAGTGAACATAAAATATCTAAAGATTAAAAATTGTGTAACCATAATAGCACAAAAGACAGATGAGAAATCTATAAAGAAGAAAATTTTTTATATAATCAAAATTAAATTGATGTTGATCTCAACTAGACTGTTGTAAGTTAATGTGTTTCTTGCAACAACCATGACAGTTATTAAGAAAATAACTCATAAAATAAAATGATATGGAACTAAAATCACTTTGGAAGCATCTTACACAAAAATAAGAAATGGAAGAATAAAAAGACAAAACAATGTAAGATACACACATAATTTGTAAGAGACACAGGGCTCTTAAGCTCATGGGAAAGCACCAGGGAAACCAGGAATGCTAACCATGCAAGGTTGTCTCTTCAAAGGAGAGATGTGGAACTAGAAGAAATCCTGAGTGAGGTAACCCAGACCCAGAAAGACAAACACGGTATATATTCATTCATAAGTGGATATTAGATGTAAAATAAAGGATAACTATGCTACAATCCACAGACTAGAGAAGATAGGTAACAAGGAGGATCCAAGTTGGGGATACATGGATCTCCCTGGGAAAGGGAAATAGAAGAGATCTTCTGGTTGGACTAGGGGTGGATGGGCATGGGAACTTGAGGGACCAGGTTGGAGGTGGTATATAGAGGGGAGAGTATTGAAAGATATGTCTGGAAAGGGGAAAGGTATTTCAGGGTTAGAAACCTGATGCAAGGGAAACTCCCATGAATCTATAAGGATGACCCTAGCTAAGACTCCTAACAATAGTGGATACACAGCCTGAATTGGCCATTTCCAGTGATCAGATGAGTGACTACCCCAACTGTCATCAAAGAGCCTTCATCCAGTAACTGATGGAAACAGATGCAGAGACCCACAAAGCTCAAGGAATCCTGTAGAAGACAGGGAAGAAGGATCATAGGAGCCAGAGGGTTCAAGGACATCACAAGAAAACCCACAGAAACAACTAGCCTGGCTCA